TTTTTTTTTTTTTTTCCAACATACATTTTTTTTTTCTTTTTATTATTTCTTTTTCTTGAGATTTTGACATTTTTAGTATAATGGCATTGAATAAATCTATATATATATAATTGCTAGCTAATCATTAAATAAAACTTCATGAATAAAATTTAGTTAAATAAAATCTCATTTATTTTGTCTTTCACATTAATATACCCCTATTAAGTGTAATCATGTCAAAAAATTAATAGCGTTAACTATTATATAATATAATAGCAAAAAGAAAAGATAGCATTAACTACTACTATAATAATAATAATAATAACTAGTACAGAGCCCGTGCGATGCACGGGATGTACAGTTTTTTGGACACTTATCCAGCCTTATAAGTATATAAATAAAGAACAAAAAAATTACGGGATATATATAGTACGTAACCTGTGCGAAACGGGATATATTAACTTTGGGATTATTATATTATAAGATGCAATATGCAATATAAAAGTTTTACAATACGGAGGAAAATTGTACAATAAAAATATTATTCCACAAAGAAACAATCATATATTATTAAAGACCTCTTTGTACACAACATTATGAGTTTGATTATTGGGCAACTTTTCATTCTCACAAACTAATATCTTCAACTCCCTTCTAGTAGTTATACGCGAAACAGCAACATATAATATCTCCCAAAATATGTAATTTTACCTTCTCCAAAACTCACGGATCTCATCAACAGAGTCATGGGCGATCAGCTTGGTAATATTTAATGAAGTAGTCACCTGTACCTTTTCTGCAAACATATATAACAGTTTCATGTTAAGTTTCTTTTAATCGATTATATATATAAATATATATATATATACATATATACGAAAATAACAAATATATATATACAAAAATAACAAAAATGTATATAATATATATATATATATATATATATATATACATATGAGATAAATATATATACACGAAAATATATAAAAATAATAAATAGAATGTGTTAAAAAAAAAATACTTCACGGATTGAAAAGGTAAATTAAATTATTTGTGTTTAATATTTAAATTTAATTTAATAATTAATATTTAAACCCTTTAATTCAAAAATATGATATAATAATATAAATGTATCTATATATATATATACGAAAATAACAAATATATATATATAATTAAACCCTTTAATTCGAAAATATGATAAAAATTATAATTTATATATGTACGAAAATATGATAAAACTATTATATATATATATATATATACATGAAAATAACAAAAAAAAATATATATATAATTAATCCATTTAATTCAAAAATATGATAAAAATTGTAATATATATATATATATATACACGAAAATATGATAAAAATATATTATATATATATACGAAAATATATAAAAAATAAATAGAATTATTTGTGTTTAACATTTAAATTTAAATAATTAAACCGTTTAATTCGAAAATAACTAAACCATTTAAAAATTAACTAATTAAGAAATTAGATTTATATTTTTTTGAGATTTTTTTTTTAACAACAATGAAATCTGATTTCTATTTTTTTATGAAAATAGTTTGGAAGATTCCCAAATGCACGGATTTAAAAATCAAACACCAAAAAAGTTTCAACTGCATTTAAAAGCATTAAGTAATGATTAGATTTGAAATAAATAAATATAAAATATAATATTCAAATGATAAAAATAGATAAGCATTAATTGCTTTGACTTTTCTACATACTAATTTAAGTAAATGGTATGGCCTTTAATATAATAATAATAATAATAATAATAATAATAATAATAATAATAATAATAATAATAATAATAATAATAATAATAATAATAATAATAACAACAACAACAATAATAATAATAAAAATATCCTGAAACAATAAAATTGTTTATACTTATGTAATTTATATTTAGTGTGAAATATTATGAGTTGGTAATAGCATTAACTATTATATAATATAATAGCAAAAAAATACATGATTACACTTAATAGGGTGTATTAATGTGAAAGAAAAAATATGACTGACAAATTTTGTAACTTCTTTTGAAGGGAAAATAAATGAGGTTTTATTAATTAGATTTTATAAGTACATGATTACACTTAATTAGGTTTTATGAATGATATTATTAGATTATTATTTTAATTTTATATTTCATGAAACAATTTTCTTTAGAAACAATTAGTAAATAGTTTTAATAGTATAGTAAAAAAACTTTAAAATCTTATAAACAATTGTCGTTGTAATAATAATAATAATAATAATAATAATAATAATAATTATAATAATAATAATAATAATAACAATTGCCGGTGTTGTTGGCATTAAACATCGCCATAACCTTGTTCGCGATACTCTTTCAGATGTCTGCTTTCGCTCCGGGATCTCGGTTGGTAAGGAGGTCGATATTGGGCTCCTCGATGGGCAAGATAGACCACTTCGCCCTGCTGACTTATTACTTTACTCATGGGATAGGGGGCTTGACGTTTGCGTTGATTTGACTGGTTCCTCGCCCTTGACCCAGTTCGGGATGTCTGACTTCGTTCCGGGACGTGTTGTGGTTGATGTCGCTCAGCGCAAACGTGCGAAATATGACGCCTCGTGTGCAACTAAGGGCTATGGATTTCTCCCATTCTCTTTCTCTTCATTGGGGGAGTTGCACACCGAGGCCATCGCCCTACTCAAGAGGATTCAGAAGTATTTTGTATCTCAGGATGCGGGAGCACGTGCCGCTCCTCATATTTTCACTCGTATTAGCTTTTCCATTGCTAAAGGAGTGGGGGCCCAGATAGTATCTCGGCTGCCCTCCAATTTCTTGTAATCACTTTGATTTCATAATAATAATAATAATAATAATAATAATAATAATAATAATAAAAAAAATTAATAATAATAATAATAATAATAATTTTGTAGCAGCTTGCTTGATTTTGGAAGGAGCCAAAGAGGACAAAAATTTCGCCAGAAAAATAATGGTAGATACTTTTCAAGCCGCCAGTTATAATACATAATGTGACATAAATTTACAGCACAGTACAGTTGGTAAATTGTAAAAATGGCCATCTTATACATATTCTTCAGAAGCCTGCAATGCCCATTTCCTGATGCACAACACCTGCAATAACCAAAAATCTTGTTAGCAGTTAGCACCAAAAGACAAACATTTTATCCAGAAAAGTAAGTCGTAAAAGACTCGTAATTCCCATTAGTTAGCAACTACATACACAATTCAGTAGAGAAAATTTCGAGACTCGGCAAAATTACCGGTTAATTG